GTGCCTCGAGGATATGGAGGGAAAAGATACTCAGTGATGGTAAAGTTTGAAAATTACACCAAAAATTAGTGAAATGGTAGATGACTAAAATAGGTCAGTTCTACAAAACCATTTGGATCTCTTGTTAAGATGGACTCATTTGAGACACTTGTTTTTCACTGCAGCCAAATACAATATCCTGCATCTCTGAGTTGAGAATATATGTTGGAAAACAATGACTAAAAAGGACTGAAGAAACATGGTAGATTAATGGTTTTCAAGCTTTTTTTTTCTGGTGACCCAGTAAAAGTAAATTGTTGATGCCTGCAACCCAGTGGAGATGGGAATGAGGGGGTTTGGGTATGGGAGGGGATTCTGAACTGGGGCAGGGTCTTGGATTGTAAGAGTGGGTTAGACTAGAGCTCTGGGGTGTGGCTGAGGGGGTGAGATGTTTGCAGTGCAGGAGTGGGCATTGGGTTTGGGTAGAGGTCGGCAGTGCATTGTTGGTGCAGAAGCAGGCTTCCTTTCTGTCCCTGGCACAGTGGATCTAATGCCCCTGGAGCGGCTAGCAGCAGGTCTGGCTCCTATGCAAAGATGCAGAAGCATTTCTGCTCAGCTCTTTCTTCCAGGCACTGCCCCTCTGTTCCTTGGTACACTCCCTTCTGCAAATATCACAAACTATCAATTGCTAATAAGATGGAAGTTATCAACAGGAAGCTCAGAAATGCCTATTTAAAAAAAGTAAAGTACACTTGAAAACATAGTTTTATTCATTGTGGGAAATCTTTTACCTTTTAGATTCATTGTTGAAGGATAAACATATTTTTTTTATTTTATGTCCCTTAGTCTTGCCAACTCCAGATTTTTTGAACTTATCATGATATTTGGTGGGTTTTTTTTTTCTAAAAATTGCTGCTTCTCCAGTTGGATGATTGTGAGAATCTTGGCTTTAGTTGAATAAAAAATAAGTTTCTGGCCCTCATGATTGTAAAGAAAAGATTGAAAATATTGAATGTTAGATACTAAAAATCATAAGGCAAATAAAATTAACCCATCACTTCTGACTCTCATTGTTTTTAAACTAATAATGATTTTTTTGGTGTAAAAGCCTAATTTATGCTTTCTGAAATGCTTGGGGTTAGCAATACTGGGATTCTTGTAAGGACAACTTTAAAGCAACCTACAAATAATATTTTGAAACCTCCCAGACTTTTCTTTGGAAATAAAAGTAGAAAATTAGAGTTTTTCAACTTTTTTGAAATACCAGTCAGAATACAATACTGGATATTTATCCCTGTAGCTTAGAAAAACCTGAATAAGTCTACTGTGGTTATGGCAGCCCCCCTGTGATGATGGCTGTTAAAAGTCTTTCCCAAAAGGCCAGCACTGGAGAAAAAGGGGATTTTTTTTTTAAACCAGAGCCTTATATAATAATGAATGTGTGGGCTAATAATGGTCAAAGAGAAGTATTGTTTTAGAAACAAATTAAAAGTTTATTTATCTGGGGTTTGTCTGTTAGAAGCTCCTAGAGGCTGCTGTTCCAGAGCAGAAATAAACCTCCGCTCATGTTATGTCAACTGTCAGAGATCCCTCTAGGGCTCTCTCATAGCTGCAAATCCATATGGCACAGGAATCTGTTGTAGGGTTCTCTGCAGCTGGAAGCAGTATAAGGCTTCCTCCTCCCTTAATCCTACATATAAATATGCAACAGGAGGCAATGACTCTCTCACTACTGAGTTACTAGAAAAGAGCATGCTAACATAGCAGTGTTCCCAAAGGGAGATATATGGAGGAATCCTTTCACCCCCTGTACTGCTCTGGGTGGCACTGAGCAGTAAGAATTCACTTTTCCCTATTATTTCAGGATGAAGCCTTAGAGATGCTTCATCTTGAGTGTATCAAAGAAGGTGTGCCTTATTCCTGCTTTGGTGAACGGGTCTCTCAGAAGTGGTTTAAAATAACATAATTATATGTTATACTTATATGAATCAAAATAAATAGATTTTAACTGTAGGCAATTATTGGTCCTGAGCCTCACTGTTTGCAGTGAAGATCCAGAATAGATTAGCATTCAATTAAAAGCTCAGCCTGGCTATAATTAGAAGACCTTGAAACTCACAGTATGGATTTGCAGTGGAAGAATTAAGATACTTCAGTTTGTCACTTTTTATGAAAAGACAAAGCACATTTTGTAGTTTAATTATTGTAAATAGAAATTGGAATATTCTACAGTCTATAGCCAATAAAATGTCTATCTTGCCTGTTAATAACTGATGTAAAAATGGTGCTGAGCAGCCATTGATATTATCTCTGTCATATTTTACAGTGTTAGTGGATTTTTCAGGTTAGTGATCTACTTACTATATTGAACATTTTCCAGATAGGAAAATAATTAGTACAATACTTCATGTGGAACAACCTTATAATACTGTTACTGCAAGTGTGTTTGTAATACTTTAGTGGCAGGGAGCCCTAAGCCTTAGTAAAGCTCTTGAATACTTTTTTTCCATTAGCTGCTATGTTTTCAACTTGAAGAGTGGGTTGAAAAGGAAAGAGAGAGGCTGTGTGGGTCCTCTAAAGTTGTTTACAGTGCTTTATGAAGTTAGCACTTTACAAAATGAGTATAAGAAAGGAGAGTAGTACATGTGAAGAGTTCTATAAAAAAAAAGCCACGTGGAGAAAACAGTAAAATATAACAAGTCATTGTAGAACAATGTATTAATATACTATGCCAGAACTTCTAGTCAATGAATGTAGCTGATTGTAATCACTATCTGATTGAGTTTTAAGTTTTCTACACAGATTAAAGTATTATGCACAAATATACTGAGAGAAAACATCAGTTTATTTTTTAAAAAAAGTTAAGTATTAGTCTGACATCAATAGAGAACCAATAGTTCTGAATAGTTTGTTTTTCTAGCCAAGAAGAAAACTGCTTGTGAAGAAAAACATGAATTCTGTGTTATGTTCCACTCATTTTAATACCAGTCTAAACAGTTATTAATACTGATTATTATAAGTTGAAGCTAACTTGTTAGAAGAATTATGTTTGGGAGTCAAGATTCTGCAGTTTTGATATTATGAAGTTGGGAAACTTAAGACTGAGTATTGTAAATTTTAAACATTTTGGAAGATTATCTTAACCTGTATTGAAGCAGTAGGTGTTTTTCTGTTATTGCATGTATCAATATAGAGGTAATTTTTATGATGTGTGGGGAAAAATCAACAGTTTATTTTAATCCAAATAATGAAAATGAGATATTTTAAATGAATGTTTAAGGGCACATAACAAGTGGTGTGAATAGAGGGATGAGGCAATTCATTTTAAAGGAGAATCCTACAAATATTTCTACAGGTTGGACCTTGTTGGTCTGGCACCCTTGGGACCTGACTAGTCCCGAACGAGGGGATTTGCCGGACCAGAGGAGGTCCCTCCCCTTCTGGCATTCTGCTACCGGATTAGGGCTCCATCCTGCCTCTGTTGCTGCCCCAACCCGCTGGGTCTTGCCAGATGCCACCAGTGCTGGAGTGCCACAGAGCTTTGCAGCTTGGGCCAGAGCTGTGCAGCAAAGGGCTGTGGAAGAGGCCTGGAGTGCCTTGGCGGGGGCCAGAGCGCTCTGGCTGCTGCTGAGGCTGGGGGTGGAGCTCCCTGGCTGCTGGAGCCAGAACTTGACCAGAGTGGAGCTCCATGGCTGCTGCTGGGACCGGAGCTCCCCGCCCCACACTGGACTCCCATCTGAGTTGCTAGTGCCAGCTCTGGTGCTCCTGCCGTGCCACCAGACCTCTCTGTTCCTGGGCTCTGTGGTCCAGGAACATCTGTGGTATGTGCTGGACCACAGTTATTGCCAGAGCAGGGAGTCCCAGTTAAGGGAGGTCTAACCTATACTACTCTTGTAACTAAATACTATGCTGTGCACCATCCAGATAATTTTTGTTATGGAGCAGTAGGATTAGAGGCACCAAATTCCTTTTGAGTTGCAACACCTCTGCACTGAATACTTTTATTGTTATAATGCATGGAACTCTTTTATATTAATAAGTGTCTCTTTCAGATTAACTGCCTAGTAGTGTGTATGTAAAACAGTTCGTGGTAGAATATGGTAAATTCTTAAATAGCAAAGTAACGTGAAGCTGAGTTGTATTTGAACAAACAGAAACAAATGTGTTAAACTGTGTTCTTCAGCTGGCACAGATTGTTGACTCCTTTTGGGAACAAAAGAAAGCCTAAAATTAGGTAGGCTCTTTTCTAGGTCAAAAATCTCTGCAAATTGCTAGGAAAATGAGCTCTCTACTCCCCCTAAAAATACTGTTCAGGATTTACCAAAAGGTGGTGACAAAATATTTATTAGTGAGCACATGCTGATGTTTTGTATCAAAGCTATCAATATGAAGATGAAAAGAAAATATTGGTTTTACTTATTGGAGCTAATAAGAGAGGAGAATGTGAAATAATCTTTCATTCTTACTGTGCTGAGAGTTATGGTAAGAGAACGTTTTAAAGTAGAATGGTTATTAATAAACATGTTTCATGAACCTACTAGTCAAAACAAAATTAATTTACTGATCTTAAGAGAAAATAGGGAAAATAACCCAATATGCAAAAGGAAGATTACGTGGATGACAAAGCTCAGATAAATACTATTCATGAAATAATTCTCTGTATATATTGTTTCAGAATTGAGGAATTCATGCCATTGATTTTGAATGTTAAACAATCCCTTCTCCCATCAGTGTGTTAGGATTTGTTTGGCTAAATTATTACCTTTACCGTTCCATGAGTATTATATCTAAATTTTCTGTACTTTGAGACAATAGACTTTGAAAATATATTGTGGCCATTCCTACCTTTGCATGTTATGATGGAAGGAATCTTTAAAAAAGTAAGTTAAATCTGTAATGTTCTAAATAATTAAAACAGTCTATGGCAAAACATAATATGAAAGGTTATCTTTTCTGTAATTGAAATGTCCTTTGAGTTTTTAAAAGGCATTAAAATAAAATGCAATTATAACTTTTTGTAGGTTGGGCTCATGTGGTTTGTGCCCTGTACATTCCCGAGGTGCAGTTTGCAAATGTTTCTACAATGGAACCTATCGTGTTGCAGTCTGTTCCTCATGATCGTTATAATAAGGTATAATTATGTGTGTGTTTATGGCTTATGTCTCTGTATGTGACTTCATTATTTTAAAAAACTGTGATATTTAGTTTTAAGCTTGTTAAAATATAATTTTAAAGTTAAGCATATAACTGGTACTTTACATTTTTTTAAAAGGTATAATTTAATTTAAATGTATTGCATTACATTTTTTAGAATATCTTTATTTTTCATATAGAAAACAAAGCATTAGAGTTATTTCTAAGCATTTCTGCTATTTACATTTTTATACTAAATTCCAAGAGCTAATAAAGCGTGATTATTAAAACGTTCTTCATTGCAGTATATCATTGAAATACTTATAAATTATAGGGTGTGAATTATCTCCTTGGGTATTTCTTTTTTTACAAAATAGTCTATTGTTAAAAAATTACAATATTTTAAAATTACTGTTTTAAAATAGATCACTTTTTAGTAATTATTGCTGTTAACACTTCTTTATATATAGCTATGATTATTCGTACACAAGAGTATTTCTTTTGTGTGTTTTAAGAACATAAAGGTTATATTAAGCTATTCAGTAGATCCAGCAAACCTCTACTGCCCCAGCTGTACCATTTATTTCAGTGGAATCATTTATATGTGTAAAGACTGCTCATGTAAGTAGCTGTTAATAGGATTGAGCTGTTTTTCTTTTCTAGTCTCACAACACTTAATTTTTTTACTCAATGTGTTCATTTCTGAATTTCTCTCATTTTCAACATGTATTTGTCTAACAACTTCCTATCTCTTTGTATTTTTTTTGGTTTCCTCTTTTTGTAACTCAAGCCCTTTTGTTAATTTCTAATTCATATTATTCCATGTATCTCTTTTGTATTTTGTAGGATTGTCAAACAATTAAAATAATGGGATTAAAAATAATTGCAATTAATCGCAATTTTAGTTTCACTGTTAATAATAGAATGGAATGCTGTTTGCTGGAATGGTGGTTGAAGGATGAAGGGGCATGCAAATTTTATTATGTTCGACACATAAATACTTTGCTATCTAAAACAATTTCAGGTTAATGCCAGATCACACTTTCATTTGACACTGTAAACAAGTTGGTCCCACAAATGTCAAACTTGTTTGTCTTATTATTGCAATATAGATATGCCTTGCATCTTTTGAACATGTCCGCTACTGCGAAATACAGCTGACACACTATTTTGGCATCCCTGTAAATCTTGTTTCATGAGGGACAAGGGATGTCTCAAAATAGTGTTTTTTTTTTTTAGCTAAAGGTGCAGTGTAGTTGCACTGTTAATGTAGGCTGAACAAGAAGTAGAACTGAGTGGCCTTGTAGGTGCTAAAGTTTTACATTGTTTTGTTTTTGAGTGTAGTTATGTAAAGAAAACCCTACAATTATAAATTGCACTTTTATGATTGAGATTACACTACAGCGGTGGTTCTCATACTTTTTAGATTACTGTACCTTTTTCAGGAGCCTGATTTGTCTTGCACACCCCAAGTTTCACCTCTCTTAAAAAGTAGTTAGTTACAAAATCAGACATAAAAATACAAGTGTCACAGAACACTATTACTGAAGTATTGTTTATATTTTCATTTTGTCTATATGAAATGGTAGTTTTTACTGACTTCACTTGTGCTTTTATGTAGCCTGTTGCAAATCTAGGCAAATATTTAGATGAGTTCATGTACTCCCAGGGGTACATGTCCTGCTGGTTGAGAACCACTGCACTTCAGAATTTGTATGAGGTGAACTGAAAGATACTGTTTCTTTAGTTTTTCATTACAGTCCAAATATTTGTAACAAAAATAGTATAAAGTGAGCATTATACACTTTATATTTATTCTGTGTTGCAGTTGAAATCGGTATGTTTGAAAATATAGAAAACATGCAAAATATTTAAATGTGTTATTCTATTGTTTAATGTGATTAAAACTGTGATTAATTTTTAATTGAGTTAATTTGTTTTGAGTTATCTGCAATTAATTGACAACTCTAATTTTTTAATATTCATTTTAGTTTTTTACTTTCTGTTATTGCAGTTCTAATGGTCAGACAGAATTTTCAGGGCCTGAAACAAGAAGAATAGGATTCTCTAGTAATGATATTCTTTCACTTTTTATGGTGGCCCTTCCTTTAAAGCAGTGGTCCACAACGCAGTGCCCACGGGTGCCATGGCACCCGCTGGGGCATTTATGTACACCTGCTGAGTGACCAGGGCCAGCCCAAACCATTCTTGCGCCCGGAGCTCTGGGCGCGTGGCTAGGGCCAGCTCGAGCCATTCCTGTGCCCTGGGCAGCAGGTGCGCGATGCATGCGTGGCTCTGCCCCTGGGCGCACAGTGCATGCGTGGTCCCGCTTCCTGGCGCGCTGTGCATCTTACAGATGCCATCGGGCGCGTGGCGCCTGATGGCAGCTCTAAGGGACGCCTTGTGACTGGACGCGCGGCGCCCCTTACAGCTGCCATCAGGCACCCCCCGTAGGTTGGTGCCCCTGGAGCTGCCCGGCTAGTCCCCCCAATCCTGTCCTGTGCAATCCTGTCCTGTGCCCGGACACGTGGCAGCCCCAAAAAGTTGGGGACCATTGCTTTAAAGAATTCACACTTACTTACCTTGTGTTTCCCAACCTCTCCATTGTGCTTCTCATTTCCTGTTTCATATATTTGACTTTATTTTTTCTTTTACTGCTCTATATTTTGTGATCCCACTCTCTCTTGGCTTTTCTCTGCTTTTTTCACATTCTCCTAATCTTTACAGCCTGATATTTTTGCTGCTTTCACTTACTGGGTTTCAAAATGGCCAAGAGATATTTAGGGCTTGTTTTACAGCTATAGCACTTCAGTGTAGACATTGCATATGCTGTTGAGAGGGATTCTTCCATTGGTGTAGATCAGCGGGTCCCAATCTTTTCCAGATGGGGACCCATTTTGACAATTCAGGAAGACTTGGTGATCCAAGGCAGTTCAAAAATGGGAGGAGGAGGGGAGGCAGAGCTTCCTGGGGAGACACTTGGTGATCCTTTTGAAATATAATGGCGACCTATATTTGGGTCCTGACCTATAGGTTAGGAAACCCTTGTGTAGATAATCCCTCTTCCTGAGAAGTGTACGTAGGTTGACAGACAAATTGTTTCACTGACCTAGATCTGTGATCACAGGGTCTTAAGTCAGCTTAACTATGTTTCTCAGGGTGTGGGTTTTTAACACATTAGCTGTGTTAGATGTGCTGTCAAGCTTGTTCAGTCCTATCTCTCCACAAATTCTGGACCTGTGACACATCTGCAGTACCATTGTCCCCTTGAAATGGCATGACTATTTTCTTTCTTCTTCTGATAGTCTATCTTTGCTTGTAGAAAATTTTTTCCTCTCCTTTTTTAGTTTGTTTCATAGTCGTGTGTGTGTGTCTGGCACCATTTCCATTGACATTGATTGAAATAGTGTTTGTAAATCTCCGTGTCCTACTTTGAAAATTTACCCTTTAATCTCTCTTGTTAATTTTGTCTGCCACTATTTTTGTTTGTCATCTCCTTGCTTTTATCACTAAAATCTTTAACTGCTTGCTCAAACTGTTGTACTTTCTGCTAAATGATCTTGTTCCTTCTGCTAATACCTATGTTTATTTTTGTTTGGTCCGCTCATGCGGGAGGGGAGCAGTTGCCCTTGAGCTTGGCAGTTCAAAAGGGCCTGGAGTTCCTGGCTGCTTCTACTGAAGGATTGGCAATGTCCAGAGCCTCTGGTTCTTTAAATAGCCTCCAGAGTGCTGCACTCCGCTGTCTAGACAGCTCTGAGGGCTCTGGAGGGACCTGGTACAGTGTACTCCGGGCGGCACTGAGAGCTAGCTGTTATAGCCCCACCCCTTCCACCAGAGGTCATGCCCCTTCTGGCAGTGCAGAGCTGCCTTTCACTCACTTTGCTCAGGGACCCAGCAAATCTGTCGGACCCCCAACTATATCTAACTGAAAGTCCTTCACACATTTGTCAAGCATCAATTATCTGGAAATCCAAGACAAAATACCTGTGATGATCTTTCTCTCTTCTAGTTTTTAGTTTGGTGCTTTTGAAGGTGACGTTCAAACTAGATATGTAAAATCCCATTTAATTGGTTAACTTATAACCAATCAACCAATTAAAGAGGGAGTGCTCTAGCTTAGCTAGGCTGCAGGGTTCCCCTCTCCCTGCAGCTGGAGAGCCCCCCCTGCCTGTGCCCCTCTGGACCTGCTACAGACAGGGCCAGGTCCGGATGCCCAGAGCAGTCCCTGCCTGAAATGTGCCTAGGCCATAATGAACTGGAGCTGGTCTGGACATCCATTAAAGGTAACGCTTACTGGTTAACCTTTCCCATCCCTAGTTAAAACACAGGCCTATTTTCATGCTTAGGAACCTAAGACCTACTCTGCCTGCTATGTAATTTTTAAGTTCGTATGGGACTTGTTTTCTTGGAAATTTGGTTTAGACTTATTTTGCAGGCTTCCCTCCCCCAAAAAACAAACAAAATAAAAAAACCCCACCATTTTTAGAACTTCTGACCTAACCTTTCTTGGTATCTCCAATTACTCTTTCTTACTTAGTTTTCATTGTTGAATCTGTGCTGGTCCCAGGATATTAGAGAGACAAAGTGGGTGAAGTATTCTATTTTATTGGACCAACTTCTTTCAAAGTAAGACACACATTTTCAGGCTTACACAGAACTTTTCTTAAAGTCTGGATAGCTAAGTATGTGGTAGAACAGATTGTTTAACACAAGTATTTTATGTATATTGTAAAAGATCTTTAAGCTGAAATGGCTAGTTAATATCTCTGGAGTCATAGGACCAAAAGGGGAATTAGTGGGTTATAGATAGTTGTAAAAAGCTTAAATTCAGTGAATTTATTAAGACTATGTCTATACTAGCACTTTTGATGGTGAGGCTGTGGAAC